TTCTGAAGGCCCTATCTCCCCTGCCCCCTCAACCTGGGCACCAGACCTTACTTCTGCTCCCCCAGAGAAACCAAAACCAACCCCGTTGGTGTCAAGTTGATTCTGACTCACAGTGACCCTATAGGACAGAGTAGAACTGCTCCACAGGGTTTCCAAGGAGTGGCTGGTGGATTCAAACTGCTGACCTTTTGGTTAGCAGCCAAGCTCTTAACCACTGCACCACCAGGGCTCCAAGAAAAGCTCTAGAGAAGTTTTCAAACTGTTTCTAAGCACAACCCTGCCTTCAAATGAAACAATGTCATATATAAAAGGCTATAAGTGGGCTACTCTGGGGGGCTGCAGGCGTAGGGGCCAGAATCTGCCCTCCTCTGCCAGCTGCTGAGGCCCATCACAGCCACATGGGGCTCAGACTACCAGATTTTGCCTTGTAGCCTGTTGTTTGCTTCTGCCTTCTGCCTGTAGACTGTGAAGGATTCATTTGCCCTTCTGAAGTATGGGCATTATTCTCTCCCTCTTACTGCCTCCCCTGCCCCAGAGCCTGTGTCAAGTGGGGACAGAGAGATTGGGAGGGGAGCCCCATGACAGGTTGCAATTCAGGACCCCCACACCCCACTAGGACACTGCCTAGCACTGAGGGCCCTGGTCCCACTTAGCACAAGAAACTCTGGCCAGCCTAGCTCCCCTCTTCCTCTGTACTCCCAAGTCCTGGAACCCCAAAGCCATGCAGGGCCTCTGTCAGTCCAGAAGGAGCTGCAGGGCACCACCCCTGAGGCAGACGTCCTCAGACCTTCCCACCGCTCAAGGGAAGAGGGTGATGGACAGGGCGGGGCTGAAGGAGGCTTCCTTTCCCCAGAGCAGGGGGGAGGCAGGAGGTAGGTGCTCTAGAAGTGCTCTCACACCCTCCTGCTGTCCAGGTGGCATGAAGCCAGAGCCCCCAGCCCTCACGCTCTAAGGGGAAAGCACCTCTGAGCTGCCCTCAGGACAGCTGCCCCCAATAAGGTCCCCTTCACACGCCATCTCAGCCCAACTCGGACTCTAAAAATGATTCTCTGGTTTTCAGCCTCGGTGCCTGCCCACAAATTAGTGTCTCCGACACGGCCTCTCGGGACGTGACTTCAGGGAGGCCCCAAGGGGAGTCAGAAGGCCTCAGGGAAGGGAGATGGTGTTGGCAGGGTCCCTCCCTGAGGGAACAAGGCTGGGTAAGCTCCCTCTCCCAGTTGCTAGGACACCCCCCCAAAGCCACCCAGCCTCAGTGTGACAGCTCTGTTCCCCTTAACATGGCAGAGGAACAGGCAAACTTTCCACCCACTGTATCCCCCTTCCCTCACCTCTACCCCCAGTTCAGTCAGCTTTGCCCTCAGCCACTGTCCTGCTGAGAAAGAGGAGACAGGGGAGAAGCAGCAGCCAAGCCTGGGCTCCCAGAAGGTGAACCCATTAGCACATTGACCAACTGGTAAACCAAGCTGGGGACAGGGGAAGCCTGGACTCCTAACTCGTCTAATCTTTAGTCTCAGGCTGCTCTCCTCAATCCCAAAGCGGTCGACTTGGAATAGGAAGAGCCCTCCCCGGGGTGCCCATGCCCCCATGCCCCCATGCCTCGGGCCACCACCTGGGCAGGTGCCCTCCACTGAGGCCCGGGCGGGGCGTTAGCAGGTGGCCAGGCAGGAGCAGGGAGGGCCGTGCAGGACGCGTACTCACAGGTAAGCCGTCAGGGGGTCCAGGTCCCCCGGCACGGCGGACAGCCCGAGCTCAGAGCAGTCGGTGGACAGCATGATGCCGTCCTCCTGGCAGTGGCAGGGGGCTGGGCAGGTGGCGGACCCCG